TAACATTCACATAAATTAAACACATACAACTATTTACATTATGAAATAAATAACTATACACAAGATAAAGATGTCACTTTGGTGACATGTTATGTAAATTAAGTTATTTCAATATGTATATGCATATATCAATATTAAAATTTAAAAGTAAAACCGAATTTAAACTGAATTAGAAGAAAATCAACCACAAAATGATTAAATTTTTTTTTTTTTTCAAAAGTTGACCGTTGACTTATCATAGTCAACGTTGATCATTGACCAGTCAATCGTTGACCATTGACTAATCAAACGGTGACTATTGACCGATCAACCGTTAAGCGTTGATCGATCAACTGTTGATCAGTCAACCATTGATCGTTGACCATTGACCGAGTAGGGTCAAAACCCATTGAGTTTAGACCGTGTTGGCCCGGCCCAAAAGGGCCTAGGTTTTGGGCCAGCCGAATGGACCTCTTTTTTTTAATTTTCTTTATTTTCTTCTCTTTTTATAGATGAAGCCCATATAATTTAATTTTAAAACATAAAACTAAATAACCCAACAAGCCCAATGTAACACCCAAGTATTTTTAATTTTATTTTTATTTTTATTATTTTTATTTTTCTTTTTTATTTTTTTTTTTTGTATTTGAATTTTTTAGATTTTTATTAATTTAATTTAATTTAATTTAATTTAATAAAAATAAAAATAAAAATAATGATAAAATTGGGTAAAAATATTATTTGGATTTAATTGAAATTGATTTTGAGAAAAAAAGGGTGAAAATTTGAATTCTGGTGGTGTTTTTGAAAAGAAAATCGGAAACCAGGGGGGTCAAAACGCAATTTAAAAAAGTTGTGTCACGTCAGCAGCCACATCAGCAGCCCGGTCAGCAGCCCTGGCCAACCAGGACACCCCGCATGGCAAGGATGCGCTGACACGGGACGGGCCACGTGGGCGATCCGCGTGCACGCGATCGGACGACCCAAATCCGTTCCCGCGCGCACGGACGGCCTAGATTCACGCATATGAACGGTCTAGATTCAATCAGGCACGGACGACCCAGATTGCATTGCGATGGACGGCCCAGATTTAATCTCAATTAAAAATCGATTGGACGGTCCAGATTTAATCTTGATGGACAGTTGAGATTAAAAGGCAAAGGGTATAAATAACCCCACTCACACCTGACCACAAAACCCTAGCTGCCAGTGCCTCGCCGGAGAAGAATAACCAGACCCCGGAGGAGCCGGCCGCCGCCACTCGCCGCCGCACCGGAGAAGTTTTTGACCGCTGATCGAGGTAAATTTTCTCCCCCTAGCTCATTTTTCGATGTTGAGTCCTCCTATGGCCAAACCGGATCCAAACCACCGGCCAAACGGCTGAAAAATCCAACCGAAGTCCGTCGCCGCCGCCGCGACCCCCCTCTATTTTTGCCTCTGATGAGGCCCTTCTCGGTCTCCGTTCGATGCAAATTTTATACCACTGTGATCACCATTATTTTCTCTACAGGTTGATCGGAGCCAAACATTAAAACGCGACTCACGCCAGAGGAGCCGTCGCACCCGAAAGCATCGTCGTCGGTAAGTCTCGATTTTTTGTAATTTTTTGGCCCATCGAGGGCCCTAGGGTTGTTCTATCACAGGAACCAATGCAAGTTTGGCCGAATTCGACCAAAAACGGTTAACCCAATGCGGATCGCCGCCGCGGGCGGCGGGTGCCGTCGCCAGAGCACGGCGGAGCCGCCGTGCCGGAATTTCGATATTAGCCGAAAATGGGTCCTGAGTCTGATTTGGGTTTTTTTGAGACACGTGCAGGTATCGGTAGTGCATTTCAGTTTTTTTAAAAAAATTCAAGAAATTTAGGAACAGCCCAGAGGCACACTGTAGATCCGATTTCACACCACAAAATAAGTAAGGATCTCTCACCCTATTTCCTATCACGGCATTAAAGTCTAATAAATGATAAAACGGTATTTTATGACTTAATAGATATGTATGATTGATTAAAGTTGTCAGTGGAGCCCGAATCTGATATATTGTCGGTCAGTTGTTGTTTAATCTATTTTATAGTTTTAAATGCAGTATGGTATTTGATGTATTTATCTTATGGTTTCGTATGCATGAATCATGATTTCTTTTATTATAGTTTGAATTATGGTAAACCCAATGTTGTGTTGTTTTGTTTGGTGTTCATTATTGGTTTACGTGTTTGTGTATGATTGGATAATTGAGATCAAGAAAAATAGAAAAAATGTTATGCTAATTGATAAATGGATAATGTGGACAGCGTGACTAGATATCCTAAGAGATGGTGGACGGACCGGATCCGTAGGGAACCCTACCGGGAACGTGGTCTCTCATATCGAACGGGGTATGGAAACCTTATGTGTTTTGGCGCCCATACCGGACGGGGTATGGGAACGACCCCTTTCACCCTCATACCTGACGAGGTATTGAGGTTTATGGTTTTGGCGTCCATACCGGACGAGATATGGGGACGGCCCCTTTCACCCTCATACCTGACGGGGTATTGAGGTTCATGGTTTTGGCGCCCATACCGGACGGGGTATGGGGACGGCCCTGAAATCAGATTATTAATGTTAATAGTTCACGT